AGAAAGTCTTTGGATCCAGTGGTGTTGTAAGCATCTCAGTGCTGGCAGGGGTCTCCACATGGCTTCTCCAGTTCCCAGGGCACAGAGTCTATCAGCATAGTGCCACGTGTCTTGTCAGTAGAGTGTCTCTCAGGGAATGAGCATTGTCAGTAGAGAGTCACCAAGGGAGTGAGAAGAGAAAGAGTTTCTCCCACTTCCAAAGAGAAAAAAATACAGGAATTCCCAGAATCCTCAGGGGGAAAGCCGTACCCACACAGTGGTCTCATTGGCTATACAATGATTGATAGACTAGACTCCACCCCTTCACTAATCCTATCAAACCCCAAATTGACACCAGATTATATAACTACCACACATATATTTACACTAAAAAAGAAGAGCAGGAACCCTGATGTTTAAGATCCTGTCTGACAAATATAGGGGTTCAACCCACCCAGCAGATCCGAGGAAAGAAGGCCTGGCACCTTGTTCTGATCCAGGCACTAGCTGTTGTTAGATGCCTTTGAGTTGGTTCCGACTCATAGCGACCCTGATGTACAACAGAGCGAAGCACTGCCCGGTCCTCCGCCAATCCTCACCATTGTTGCTATGTTTGAACCCATTGTTACAGCCACTGTGTTAGTCTCTCTTGTTGAGGATCTTTCCTGTTCCTTTACCAAGCCTGATATCCTTCTCCAAGACAGATGTGTTTGTCCTTTGGGCAGTCCATGGTACTTTCTTTTTTTTTTGGTACTTTCAATATTCTTTGCCAGCACCATCATTTAAATGTATCAATTCTTCAGGCTTCCTTATTTATGATCCAACTTTCACATGCAAGGCAACTGAAACTAACATGGCTTGGGGCAGGCACACCTTAGTTTCAAAGTCATCTCCTGGCCCCAGTGAATTGGATTTGCCCAATGTGATGTGTCATTTCATCTCTTGACTGTTGCTTCCATGAGCATCGATTATGGGTCCAAGTAAGGTGAAATCCTTGAAACGTCCATCTTTTCTCTCTTTCTAATGATGTTACCTATTGGTCCAGTTGTGGGAATCGTGCTTTTCTTTACATTGAGAATGAAAAGTGTGGTTGTTATGTGCCTTCACGTTGGTTCAGACTTATAGAGACCCACGGACAACAGAATGGAGCAATGCCTGGTCCGGTGCCATCCTCACCATTGATAGCACACTGGACTCCCTTTTTGCAGCCATTGTGTCAACCCACCACGTTGAGGGTCTTCCTCTCTTTTTTATTGACCATATACTTTATCAAGCGATGTCCTTTTCCAGACACTGGTCTCTCCTGATAGCATGTCCAAAGTATGTATGACAAAGTCTCACCATCCTCTTGTTCTGTACAGCATTCTGTCTGCACTTCTTCCAAGACAGGATTGTTTGTTACTCTGGCAGTCCGAGGGGCTGGTCAAGATACAGCCTTGGAAACTCTCTGGGACCCTTCTACTCGGTCCTGTAAGGTCTCTGTAAGTCCGAATTGAGTTGGTATCACATAGCCACATCCAAAACAGGCAGGTAGGTTCACATGGAAAGCAAAAAAGTGGCACCTCATCTATGCTTAGTCTCCTACTCGACCTCCTGAGGTGGCTCATCTTCAAGTCATGGTGACGTTGATTCCAACTCACAGCGATCCTAAAGGACAGAACTGAACCTCCCCTGTGGGATTCTGACGTTGTACATCTTTATGGGAGCAGAAAGCCTCATCTTTCTCCTGCAGAGCGGCTGGGGGAGTCAAACTGCTGACCTTGCGGTTAACGGTCCAGCGCATAACCCACTACGTCTGTTGTTGTTAGGTGCCCTCGAGTTGGTTCCTACTCACAGTGACCCCATGCACAACGGAAAGAAACCGCGCCCTGTCCTGCACCAGCCTCACAATTGTTCTTATGCTTGGGCCCATGGTTGCAGCCTCTTATTGAAACTCTTCCTCTTTTTCGCTGTCCTTCCACTTTACCAAGCAAGATGTCCTTGTCCCGGGATGGGTCTCTCCTGACGCGTCCAAAATATCAGAGGCGAGTGCTAATGACCTGATCGTAGACGCATTCCTGCCTTTTCTGCTTAGCACAGCACATCCTGGCGCCACTAACCATAAAGACAAAATACACCCCCTCAAAAAAACCAAAACACCCCAAAACAATTCTGCCACGAACC